GCCGCATCATCCTCCATCACGACAATGCGAGTTCTCACACCGCACACAGAACAAAAGAGTTTTTAGAACATGAAAACATAGAATTATTAGACCATGCGCCGTACAGCCCCAACCTAAGCCCTAATGATTTCTATACTTTCCATAAAATAAAGAATAAATTGCGTGGACAGAGATTTTCATCACCTGAAGAAGCTGTGGACGCCTACAAAACGGCCATTTTGGAGACCCCAACATCCGAATGGAATGGTTGCTTCAATGATTGGTTCCATCGTATGGAAAAATGTGTCAAATTTCGCGGAGAATACTTCGAAAAGCAATAAATACATTTTTAAATAGTAATGTTGTGTCACTTCCTTGATTCCCGAAATTTTCAGTGCTGCCCTCGTATCCTTACAATATAATTACTTATCCTTACAATGTAACTGATTAAAAATTCATCAAGTATTTTAAAAGTAAAAACAGATAATCGCCGATAAACGGTTAACGGTATAAAATATTTAGAAAGAAAAAAAGTAGAAAGATGTAAATAAATATTTAACGAAAAATCACATTTAATTCCCATTTCGTTAAAACTAGTATGTAAGCCAAACATAATAAATTATCGATACAAAATAGTTGTGTCACGTAACTGACTCGCATTCGACTCCTGCGGCCATGTTCTGGGAAATTTACCTACGCAACAATTTTGTTTATTGCCCATACTATAAATCCATCGCTGATTTTAGCTGTCGCACTCGTAGACATGAACTAGCTTAGGAATCAATGGATATTGAAATGTGAAAACAAAATTTCGGAGACAATCGTAGTACTGGAGATGGATAATTTTATTTAAGTACCTATTTTTCATTAAACACAACATTATTTAAAACACTAAGTACTTATTTATGAAATGTTATCCCTTTATTTGAAAATTTGCAAGTTGTGGAGGAATTTCCGCAGTTGGATATGCTTCAAAACACCATTTTTACGTCTCTGCGTCCGAAACAGTACTGGTGACCGAAACAAACGCTCCTCGCGCGCTTGTGGCCTACGAGTCACATGTGCGGCGACAAGGTCACGCGCTTTTACGACTTCTATTTATATTTAGATTTCTGTGACTATGGTATATATATATATGGGCGCATCTAACTATTTAAATCTTTGCTCATATGTCGGTGATCGCTACACATTTTCATACCACCATTCTCGCGATCACTGGGTCATCACTAAACAGTTGCCACCTGGTCTTTATAATGAAGTTGTGGCAGCGCTGTCGTCGCGCTACAAACGAAACGCACCGCAAAGTTACGAAGTACTGCGGTATATAAAAAAGTCAGGAAAAAAGTTTCTTCGTATTTTATTTATATACATATTCAAGACCTTTTTTAATAGTTTATTTACATTTAATTATAATAATATATGTGTCATTTTGGTCGATAACTTGTTGCCATTTTGTACTTAGTGTTATAATCCCGTTACTGTACAAATCTTGGGATTTTTGTTAAAAAAATGTGACAAGTAGTTTTCGACAGTCCTCCCTTGATGTTAATCTAACACTACCCAAAAATACTGAAGAAACCGAAACAGGTAAAAATCTTAAAGGGGCAAGTTCAAGACTATATGGTGAATGCATTAACACTTCCTAACCAAGCTCTCTCAATTTTTGCTGAGTGGCCAAAATGTGTGTGGTCTGGCGTTATCATGATGAAAGACTACTCCTTTACTGTTGATCAATTCTCGCCGTGTTTTTTCAATTTCCTGCACTGAGTCTCATTATTTGTATCCAGTAGAGATCCGAATCGATGGTTTTGCCCGGTGGTAAAAGGTCATAATAAACAATGCCCTTCCAATTCCACCATACGCACAGCATCACTTTATTGCGTATTAATCCGGGTTCCGCTACAGTCTGTGGAGCTTGACCACCCTTTGTCCATGATCTTTTTTAGTGACAATGATCAACCTTTTCAAAAATGGATCGGTTTCATTACGTTTCAATAGAGAATCGCAAATGAGTACCAAATATCGAGATTTTGTATACCCAGACCTTTTCAAATGGGTCAAAACTGTTATTTTGTTTGTGGTGAATCTTGCTCTACTTTTTCAGAAATACCATCGACTTTATATGTCCAGAGCGAGCTACATCTTTGACAACGCTTGAACCAACTTTGTGCTACTCTTACTGACACTGCATTGGGTATTGGGGAGTCGCATTTTTCTCTTTTTTTTGTAATTAAACTTGAGAATGTATCGAATTTCTTCGTTAGATTCACTCATTTTGGGGGACAGATAAACAATCAAAACATGGCGGGAAAATGTTTTTATGAATATGAAAAAGAAAAATGATTCTTTTTCACATCCTATACGTTATTGACGTAGACAGAGAAACCTATAGACTAATGATTAGCGTGGCCTCGAGTGAGAAAGGACGATAACGTAGTTATAGGTTATCTTCATGACTTCTAAACATATTTAGATAAAAAAAATTATTGTTCTAAGAACTGAACTGAACAAGATTCAAACTGAAATAAACGCATTTTTTTCTTAACACCTACTATTTAACTATGCACGCACACATTCTTAGGGACCTACACTCCCAGGCGGCACGGCATGGAACGACGTGGAAAGGCATACTTCGGCATTCCTAAGGATCCTGTGGTACCTTGTGGCATGTCAAACATGTTAAGACGCGCTCGTGTACCGGGCGCCCGTGCCAGTTGCTGAGATTTCCGCTGCAACGGACTAGATTCTACCTTGTTTCAATTACTTAGAACTCACATTGCTTTAACAACAAAGTAACCTATGCGTTTAACGTGATGCAGCTGTGTGCCGCGGCATTCCTAATAATTTGTAATCACTAATCACTAAAACTATTTTCAGAAGTTTTCGATATTCCCACGGGATAGGCAATAAATAGGATTTACCTTTTCGATTAAAGTTACCTCATTTCCGTATAACTATAATTATAAAACTGATATGTTTTCAGGATTTTCCGAAATTGCCACGGGTAGGTAGGTAACTAAGGCCCGGTTTCCACCAAAGCAGAGAGGAGACGAGAGAAGATGTGCCGCAAAACTGGCAGGTTATTTCCACCAAAGCGGAGAGAAGATGTATGCTTTGCTTTGTAAAGCAGAGATGTGAGCTGTGAGAGATCGAAACCAGTCAAGTTCTGTCTACGAAAGGAAGACGCCATACCGTTACAAGTTGTATCTGCTTGAGGAAGAGGAATTAGAGGTTGAAGAAACACAATTAATTCTTCAATATTTAAATTATCGACGGCAACATTAATTTTGGATAAGAAACTATATAGTCACAGTCATGGCGAATATGCGACACTGTTTCAAGAGTTTGATGATGAAAGTTTTCAAAAATCTTACCAGTATAACAAGGAATAATTTTCACGCCGCCCGGCCGCCCGACTAGACACTTTTTCGCTCAGCCGCGCCGCTTGCTCGCTCGCCGCACAAAAATCTATAGAAAAATGAGAAGTCTCCTCTCGTCTCCGCTTAATTCATTTCCACCGAAGCTAAGCGGAGAAGAGATATGGAAATAACAAAATCGAATTGGTTTATTCAAACACATCTCCTCTTGTCTCGTCTCCTTTCTGGTTTGGTGGAAACCGGGCCTTGTGAAAATGATTTTTATTTGTGCTATAAAGATGCTTTATTCCCATTTATTTATTAGAGATTTCAAGTTTGGCGTGTAAGTATACAATTACCAATGACAAGATTTTTTAAAGTTACCTATTTCCGTTAATTCAAATCAGTTACATAAAGTACACAGGCTGTCCGTTAATATAACACGCGGTACGGTAGAATATCCTATAAAGGTATGGTTCCATAGGCAGCAACTATAACCAAAATTACCATAATTTTCAATTCAATGCATGTGAAGCTGTGGGCGGTCGTTATAATCCTATATTATAAAATATAGTCTCCCAATATCTTATCAGTCACAGAGTCGAGTCGTCGAAGGTGTAATCAAAGCTTTGCTGAAGATTCTTAAGTTCTTAAAATCCCCTACCCACTCTCACCATGTCCTGGCGACGACAGAGTTTAGTATTGTTTCTCATATGGAAGTTTGTCATAGATGCCACACTTGAAAAATCTCTTATATTATGCAAGATGTAAAATTATAAGGTTGAGGTCAAATAGACAGGAAGGGAAGCAGTGTTGAAGTGTGAGGTGTTGTGATAATAGCAATCGCAAATTTGCCCTCCGAAGCTCATATTGGCCCAGATTGGTTGCTACGAGATCGACCCCTTTCAAAACAAATGTTTGTATGGCTTATAAAAAATTGCTTTGGTTTAGGCTGAGCGCAGATTGCAGTCACGACAGTTTTAAGACAGTCTTACCTCACATAGACAAGTCTGCTTTAAAATAAAAATGAAACTTTTTTGTCTATGATGCGTCGCACATTTAAAACAAAACTGTTTTGTCTACGACGACGCGTCGCACGCCGCGTCTGCGTCACAGTATCAAAATGGACTTCACTGATACTGTTGTAAGAAGCATCCTCGTTACACGTGCACTTGCAAAACGACGCAAACGTACCTAAATATTTGGTGCATCCCATTTGTTTTAAATTGAAATCAGAATATTCCTTACATAATTTATTGAAAAGTACAGGTCTCTTTTCAACCTCGTCAATTAGTTTTTCTACGAGTTCTTCGTCGTAAACATGATGCGACGTGTTTACTCTGAACGCTCGGACGAGACTAGAAGAGAGACAAGAGAGGGTATGTAGTCAAATTTCGGGAACGTTGAAAGGAGTTTTTACAAACTAAAATACAATTAAATTATTATGTCTCACCGATTTGGAAGTGGTTTTAATAATGAATCATATTCAAAGAGCCTGTTCGTGCACGGTGTTAGTTTTATTGCTTAGCCTAAATAATACAATATTATATATTTTAATATTCTAGTCTAAAACAGAGGGACGGAGTGTATCCATAACTATGTCGCCAGACCGTTTTGTTGTTGATGTGCGCGCTCGCATACATACAAAAGGGAAGCCGACAGTCGTTAGTCAGACTGGTCGCTGAGCAGTTCTTGTAGGCAGTAGACTATTCTGTCTGTGAGACGTTTTGTTTGAAGTTTGCGCGTCTCCATATATTTTATAAAGCAATAGTCTGTCTTAAAACTGTTGTGACTGCAATCTGCGCTCAGCCTTAGATATTTACCATGAGAAAACCCTAACGTTAAAATAAAAGAAAACATTACTAAATTTTATTTAAGTTAGTTTTCAATGATTTAATCTGCAGATTATTGTGAGATTATACAACCCCACACAATAGTTTTGGTTAATTCTCACAGGTAAACAGCTTTCATTCACTTTTACTTAAGTTATTAATTAATAAATAATATTCTTTCTTATTAAAACTTACTAATTTCTTCTAAGTATACCACAATCTCAACTTGCTTTGTTCTTAATTTTAATTTATTATACCAATCATTATATTTTTGAATATTATAAAATTCTTCATCTAGGTTGGAGTTGTTACAGTATTTTTTTCCCCTTTTCACTTTGTTCATGTGACATGTAGATTGAGACTGTGGCATATTCAAGTGATTGGTGTGTTCAAGCAACTTCTTATTGTTTTTAGATAATTCTCTTCTGTATTTCACATCTTTTGAAAGTTGTTTAGGAACAGTTCCTTTAATAGTTGTTTTAAAAGACTCTTCTACTGAATTCATACCTTTTCTATTGTTATAACATTTATCACTTTGATAGTGAACTCTTTGAGTATTCTTTAAATCCATAACAAACTCATTTATGGAATTTTTACGATTCTTTGAACTAGAAAAAGAAGTTGGAAGACCAAAACTAGCTAATGAGTTACACATATTTTCATACTCATCTAAATTATTAGATTTAGCCACTACAGTTCTTTTGTTATTGACATATTTACTATCATTTATTAAGGTTATTGTTGAATTATTTTCAACTGTTTTCAAATTACTATCATTTTTAGTGTAAATCTCATTGAGAGTTTTGTCTCTATATGGGTTCTTATCAGAAGAGGTATAATTTGTATCTTTGTTTAGAATTGTTCCTTTTTTGCTTTCCATAGAATTTGTGTTTGAATCATTATTTTTACTTACGGAGTATTCTGTTTTGTAATTATGATACTTATCATTAATATTACATGCATCTATATATTTAACATCATGATTATGCAGTGGTTGTAAAAGATTTAACTGATTTAATTTATAATCTTCATAGATAGTGTTAAGTTGATTTGTTCCAAATGATTGTAATAGATCACTAAACGGTTCAATATTTTTACCTGTTTCTATTTCATTAAACGATTTACAAATATTCTCAAAACTTTCAAAATTATTTGTTCGTTGATTATCCCCAGTCAAGATGTTCCATAGTTCTACACAATTTTGTTTTACATTTTGTTTTGAAACATTTTCCTCTACTGAACACATATTTTTATCAGCAGATATGTAATTATGTGAGATATCATCATTCAAGCAGAATTTAACATTGGTCCAATAATGAGTTAAATTGAAAGGAAGTTTTGCAGATTCCAACAATTTTATAAATCTATTTTTTTCAATCCCTTCACTTAATATAGAAACAGCTGTGCCATATGATCCATATCTTCCAGCTCTCCCTATTCTATGTAAATAAGTTTGCCAATCAAATGGCACTTCAAAATTAATAACTAAATCTACATTTGAAGCATCTATTCCACGAGCAGCCAGGTCAGTGGAAATTAATAATCTACATTTATATTCTTGCAAAGTTTTTAATGCATCTAATCTGTCTGTTTGATCTTGTTGCCCATACAATTGTTCAGCAGGCCACTTTTCTCTCTTCAACATTTTACATATCTCAACAACTCTTGCTTGATAGTTACAGAATATAAGACATTGTTTAAAATGTCTATTTGATAAAATTTTTAACAGCTCTTCAAATTTATGTTGTGTTTGTCTTACTATATTACTGTTATATTTGACTAAAGTTATTTTCTGTTCAATTCCCAAAAGAATACCACTGCTATTAGGACAAACATGTTGAGCATTCTGCAGAAATTTCATTATAAATGTCTTGGACATTTCAGGATAAGTTGCACTGCTCATTATAACCTGTTTCTGTTTTGGTAACGCTAAATGTATATAGTTTATGTCTGTCTGAAAACTTTTTTCCATTAATTTATCTGCTTCATCAAGAACTAACAATCTAACTGCAGATGTATCGATGTATTTATCGTGTATCAAATGTTTTAAGCGTCCTGGGCTACCAACGACTATATGGACATTCTTTGTGAATTTTTCAATATCATCTTTAACAGAAAGACCTCCCATCACTACTTCAACACAAAGACCTGAAATAAATATTCACTTCAAAAAAGTTTGCTGTACTATAATGTAATAAATTTATTTCTTTTAGTATTTACCTTTATAACTTGCACCAATTTGTTTTAATACATCACATATTTGCATAGCTATTTCTCGAGTTGGTGCAAGTATTACGACTTGCAATCCTTTACTAAGATCTAATTTCTCCAAAGCTATTACAGAAAAAACAGCCGTCTTTCCAGTTCCAGATTTGGCTTCTAACAACAAATCTACAAATTAAATTTCACAGATTTAAATTGTGGAAAACTTATCACATTTTTTTTTAAAGAAAGAGTTATTGTAACTATCATCAACACACATGTTACAAAAACATAATAGACTAATGAAATTTTTGCTACACTAAATGAATCTAATCATAAGCTATAAGTGTGATTTTAAGTTGATTGTAATGAAATTAGCTTTTGGCATTACCAAATCCACATTTTCCTAGAGGAATACCATGTAATTGAATCGGTGAAGGTTTATAAAATCCAGAATCTTTCAATCCTTTTATAGTATCAGAAGAAAGTAGCATTGTATCAAAAGATACATCTTGACTAATATGAATATCTAATGTACGTTGGCCTTCGTTAATATTGTGAGCCAAAACCATTATTAAAATGAGAAATGTACAATTTTGGCTTTATAAAGCACTGTAATGGTTTTAAACAGTTTTAAATTTTTTTATTTTATAGAAAAATTCAAAAATTGGTTCTGTAACCCCAAATATATAATTGACACAGAACACTCATAATTGATAGATTTTTTTTATTAACTGACTTTACGGCCCTGGGTTCTAGCCCTTCTGAGCCTATCATTTCTTACAGAATCTATATTTTTATATTCTTTTCCTTCACAATATGCTGATGCATCACATTGCGAAGCTCTTGGGAGATTTTGACGACAGCTCAACCCACCGGACAGTTGATGACAGCCACTCAAGTTCATAAAGCTCCCAAGCGATAAAAATAACTTGAGGTTTAAATCGACATCAAAGCACTTGTTTCGTCGTTTTCTCTAATAGTTCACACGCGCAGATAAATAATTCACAAAATCGCATCGCTTTTACGAATCAAAAGCCACTTCGAACCATTATTCAAGCGATAAAACAGGAGCGACAATCCCTCTACGGCTAAGTTCCCGCCAAAACCCATATGATTGATAATTGTCACGGGTGCATGGAGTATAGAGCACAGAACATGTATACCCCTAAAGGGGGTATAGAGGTATACCTCTACGCTCCTTACACGGGTGGTAATCTCTATACAAATATTCCTATCCTATGGCCCTCAAAAATTGATTTTGTCAGCAATTGACTTGGATTGACGTTTCTGCACACCCACGTGACGCGGCAAGCGCCGACGCGACCATAGACGTATATATAACACAATAAAACATTATGTTTATATGAGGTCTTGCAGTGGTATGCTTGGGTTTATTTTTAATTTTATTGATTATAGGATCCCAAGCAGGTGGTAGTACCCAGCCTCCTTCTCTATTGAAATTAGGATGTTTTTTAATTTCAATAGTCTCAAGTATCATCCTTGGTAGGAATCGGTGTTCTTTCGCGAGGATTTGTGGTCTATCAAATCTGATGTAATGGTTGGGGCCGTCTAGAATATGATCGCATACTGCAGACTTCCCGGAACGTTGCACATTGCAACAATTTTACCATCAGACAAAGTAACTGCATTTTTAGAACATCTTAATTCCATAAACTCTAAAATTCAATTTACTATGGAGTTAGAGGCAAATAATTCCTTACCTTTCCTAGATGTGTTAGTCATCCGAAATCCTAACAACACCATTGGTCACACTGTGTATAGGAAAAAGACCCATACAAACCGATATTTAAACGGTGAATCTCACCACCATCCTTCACAGTTAGCTACCGTGGGCAAATCTTTGTTACAGAGAGCACGAGGGATGTGTGAGAGCAAACACCTGGCCGCCGAGCTTCAGCACGTCAAGCAAGTTCTGCACGACAACAAGCTTTGGGTCCCGCGCCTACGTCACAGTGACTGAGTGAAGCCGGCCTAAGTCGAGCGTGTGCCTGCTGTACTACCATATGTCAGAGGTGTCACAGACAAGATTGGCTACATCTTGAAGCGAGCTTCTATTAGAACATTCTACAAGCCGCCGAAGAAGATTAGTCAGTTTCTACCATCCGTCAAGTGTCATATTCCACTACAAGTTGCAGGAGTGTACAAGCTTGATTGTGAATGTGATCTCTCTTATATAGGACAAACAAAAAGATTAATTAGAACCCGCGTAAAAGAATATATAGCTGATGTGAAGCATCAACGTTCTGTGAAGTCTGCAGTTTGCGATCATATCCTAGACGGCCCCAACCATTACATCAGATTTGATAAACCACAAATCCTAGCGAAAGAACACCGATTCCTACCAAGGATGATACGTGAGGCTATTGAAATTAAAAAACATCCTAATTTCAAAAGAGAAGGAGGCTGGGTTACTACCACCCGCTTGGGATCCTATAATCAATAAAATTAAAACTAAACCCAAGCATACCACTGCAAGAGCTCAGGACATAGTTCATTTTGCATAGATCGGACCATAATCAATAATTACAAAAGCTGAAGGTACACCGGGTTCAACAATGACATCGGGACGTCAGTCATCTCAGTCCCCCGTGACTATGGGTGCTGGAAAGCACCCGAAACGTCGAGAATTAAAAATAAAAGTAATTAAAAGTAAAGTAAACGATAAAATACGTAAAAGTAGTTTTAAGCGATGAAATTTGTTGGTATGCCAGGGGCAATCGATGGAACTACGAGTAGGTACCAGTCGGATTGGAAAAAAATATTTTTGATTAAATTCTTGAAAAATGCTATAAATTGGGCTATGTAACACCACGCTATGACCCTTAGAAGCTAAGCAAAAAGAAAAAAACGTTAGAAACAATGTTAAACGAAAACGAAATGATAGCGGTAGTTATGAGTATAGATATGAGTCGGGGGAACAATAAATTTCTCACTTGGTCGCAGGTAGAAGCTAATAATTACTATTTTTGATGGTAATTTTCCTACATCTACCTTTTTAAGATGCAGATAATTGAGGGTTTTAATTAAAATTCAACACTAATTTAATTAAAGTAAAAGAAAATGAAAAATTGCAAAAAAAATACACTAAATTAAACTTCTAAGACAAACTACTACCTCCTTAAATATCTATATTAAAACAAAAAGCATCATTGTACGGCACAAATCAAACACAGATATGTTTACAATTAAAACTAAAAGCCTGTATTATACACTAACAAATCAAATTCAGAGAATCTTACTTAAATATTAAAACAACAAAGAAAAAGAAGTTAAGTTAACTACACTCAAAATGTTCTAATGAAATTGTGAAAACGAAAAAAAAAAAAAACAAATTGTACAGCAAACCTCTAAAATAACTTTCTGGGATTCTGAATTAAACAAATTTCTTTGGTATTGATTTGGTATTAAATCTTTGATAATATTACTAAAATAAGCAATCTTTTTCTTCTGTCTTCTAACTTTCTTATTAAGTCTCTTTATATTCATGAACCATTTTTGACATTTATCCTTTAATTTCTTTGTCATTTTGAATAAGTGTACCTGACATCAAATAAAATAAAATATAAGAATAAAGTAATATCAAGCGAGGGATATCTTCCACTCAGTCTCAATTCAGTCAATGAGATGTTATAGTTTAGATCAAATTCGCAAATAATGATGATTATAGAAACTGGAGCTAGTCATACAAATAAATTCGGCATAGCGGAGGTACTAGCGGCTAAATCTGGCAAAGCGGAGGTGCTAGCGGCCAAATCTGGCACAGCGGAGGTGCTAGCAGCTAAATCTGGTGGAGTGGATATGCTAATGACTAAATCTAGCGTAGCAGATGTGCTAGGGCTAAATCTGCCACTCCTTGGGCACACAAAAAGGTTCGACCTGAAAATCACTCTTTATTATTAACATAAATATTAATAAAAAACAGTAAATACTAAAAAAAATTTATGACTTCAAAAATAATAGGGTGATCCTACTGTTTTAATTAGGAAAAAAAATTACCATTATAGGAGCACCACATCCAGGTATTATAGTGTGGGTTTGTTTGATTTTGATCATTTTCAAATAAAATGCCAAACATATTTGATTGAATCGAGGGCTGTAATCAAACAATAAAATGATTAGTATTTTTTAAGTTTCTTGATTTTATTCATTTGATTTTTTATTAATCGTAAGACTATACCGGGACACATTCTTTACATCTCCATTCGTATCCCTTATACAAGCTGAAACGAAACAATTGACATTCTTTTAAACTACATATTTAGTTAATAATTCTAGACCCTCCTGCGTTAAAATTTACTGTGAGTTATTTAAAAAAAATCTGCTATTTCTACAAAAGTTCAATACCTACTCAATCAAAATGTATGGAATATCATTTTTTTTAATAACCGATGAAATATTTCAACGCAGTGGGGTCCAGTCATTTACGGACAACGTGGTTACATTAATGTCATCACCACTCAATTTATTAGGAACCACGCAATCATGTTATACACATTTATAACAGGTAATTTTACTTATCTGAGTACCAACCAAGCTTACCAATAAGATTCGTGAAGGTAAAGCATTGTCACGCTTTGAGTATTCAACCAAATACTCAAAGTCGTCACTGCTCAGTGTATACTTTATTCAGTGTCCTGACTACAAAAACTTAAAATTTCACAAGAAAAGGATAATGACCTCGTTAAACTTATAGAAGGCAATTCCTCACTGAAGTTGCAGAAAATCGCCATTACCGACTGGGAAGAAACTTTATTGCGATATAAACGAAGAGTACCAGATTCTCCTCGTTTATATTTGCCGTTAGAATTTCATCGTGAAGCTTTTGATTCGATACACGGGTTAAGTCACCCAGGAGCAAAAACTACAATCAAGTTGGTAACACAACGATACGTATGGCCCAGTATGAAAAAAGACTGTAGAGAATGGGCACGCGCATGTATAGACTGCCAGCGCTCTAAAGTTTCTCGACACACTAGATCGCCAGTACAACCTTTCTCGCCACCGTCCAATAGATTTTCGCACGTCCATATCGATCTTATTGGACCATTACCTGTTTCACACGGTTATAGATATTGCTTGGCACGGTTATAGATATTATACACGTTGGACCGAGGTAGTTCTTTTGGAGGATATAAAAGCCCAGAGTGTGGCTAATGCCTTTACTCGTAGCTGGATCTCGCGTTTCGGATGTCCTTATAAAATAACCACGGATAGAGGAAAACAATTTGAGTCGCACATATTTAAAGAGCTATCTAAACTCACAAGTTCTCTCCACATCTCTACCACCGCTTGCCATCCAGCAGCCAATAGCCTTGTCGAGCGCTTTCACCGACAACTGAAAGGTGCCATCATGTTCCATGCAGATAAGGACTGGTGTGAAGTTCTTCCTCTAGTTCTTCTAGGAATAAGATGCGCCTGGAAAGAAGATAAAGCAGCATCGGCTGCTGAGTTGGTGTAAGGTGAGACGTTACGTTTACCTAGTGATTTCTTTATATCAAGCCCAACACAAGTTATATACACTATAACCGAACTCAAAGAAAATGAAGCCGTACTACTCCGTGACTTCTCAGAAAATTACTGTGGTAAACTATCCGAGGAAGTACAATCTATGCATTTCGGTTGCCGCGAAACAACAATTTACCCTACATAAAGGGATGATTTACTGGGCTGGAGGTTCACAATCATTCTGCAGTATTGCTGATAAAAATGCCCATGATCTAGCAGCTATATGAGCTCACCTTTTACCAGTCATAAAGCTAGCCAAAGAGTACAATCCTTTACTTAAGATTATTCACTTTTACTCAGATGACCCGTGTACTCAGTACGGGCAAAAGAATTTTTTTACACGATTTATTTACCTTCAAACTAGGCCTTGAGTACTCAACATGGTCATTCACCGATAGTGGACATGGAAAATCACTAGCAGATGATTAGGTGGTGCAGTAAAGAGGTCCCTGGACAAACAGGTAGCTTATGGTAATGATGTTTCCTGTGGTGAGCAAGTTGTGAAGATATTGTCTAAATGCATGAAGTCAGTGAAATATCTTTATATAATTGACATTGATAGTGACAACATAAATAAACTGATTCCTGAAGACTTGAAGCCTTTAACAGGTACTATGCAGACACGCCAAGTTATTGTTAAATCACCTGGAAAAATTCAATATCGTCCACTATCTTGTTTTTGTGGCTTCCACAGAGGATTGTGTGATTGCTTTGGCTTATTTACTCATACCTACGGAAAACCAATTCAAAAAACTGCACCGAGTTGCTCTAATCGTACTAGTAAAGTTACAATAACAGCTGAAATTCATGCAATGCCAATCCTTAGTTCAAAAAAAGTTGTATCTGCCTCGTCCAATCAAACACATAAAATTCCTACAAATTGTGATGAAGAGGAAGATATTATAGAAGTAGAAATGGTTAGCGACAAAGGACAGGAAAAGGAAAAACAAGAGAGAGTAGAAGAAATTTATTATGCAACATTTAAATGTAGAGAAAAGGATAAAGGAAAAAATAGGCAAAGAAGTCAGTGGTGAGATAATAGGATCGTAAGAAAAAAAGGAACAAAAAAAGACAAAGGATACGAGATCAGTGGTGCGGTATTTGATTCAATTATAATTCCTTTAGATAAAGATTTGTTATTTGATTTAAATCATTTTGAAGAAATGTGTGATAATCTAGAAGTTTTGGACGAGACAGACGTCAATGTCGACAACAGCAAACATAAAATAACCAATAGAAAGCGAAATTGCATTCAAGAAGAGAAGTGGGAAGTTAAAGCACAAAAGATACCTAAATTAAATACAGAAAAAGAAAATATTTCTCCAATAAATCAGACAAAGTCTCAAAGAAATGTCGTCAGCCGTCACTCTGAGTGCCATAAATATAAAATTCGAACATCATTGCAATTATGAAAAAATGTATTGCATGTAAAAATTTTGTTTGTTTTACTTGCGATAGTTGGATTATACCCAAAGATTGTTACAACGATTTTATTTGTGATATTTGTGTTGGTGAGTAGACCTTTAATAATTTCGTTTTCTCTTTATTTTTTATAGTATCTACATAAAGTGTTTAATGTAAACTATGCCTAAATTTTTCCATACACTTTCGCTGAGTGACAGTCCCCTGTTGCCTCAACTTATTTTAAGTTTTAATTTGGATCTCGTTTTTTGTCAAATAAACAAAACTTTATTATGATAATTTAATCATAGTGTAACTCAGAAGATAGAAAATTATGTTTCTTTTTATGTTTGAATGGTGTTTTAGAAATTTTTGAGAGAATTTAAAATAATATGTTTAGTTTCTTTAATAAATAACGATTGTTAATTGTCATTTTCTTTTAATTTACCTACAAAGGGGAATACTTAATGAGTAATGCAGTGGAAGAAGATTTCAGGTCAATGTCCATTAAAGTTACAATTTTGTCAAATTCTACGCATTTTCTCTTATTTTTTGTTAATATAACAAAAATTCTAGATATTATAGAGTCAATCTGAAGTAAGAAACCCCCAATATCATGACAATTTTTTGGCGTCATTTTGTCACCATACAAACTTTTATAAAACTGCCCTTATAGCTTAACATTAATTTATTAATCAGAGAATATCGTCCATAACGTTAACGTGTGCTTTTTTCTACGAATGGTATAAAAGTCGATAGCATTTTTGACTTTAATGGGGGCACGAATATTCAATTGAGCTGGTAAACAGGAACGATCAATGACGCCATTCATCAATTTATACAAGATAGAAGAAATTAGTAAATTCTCAAAATTTATAATAATTTATAATATTTATAATAATTAAAATTATAAAAAATATGATTTATTTATTAATAATTAATAATAATTCGTTACTTTCTTGTTTTTTCTTTGAATGATATATACACGTAAATCGAACATTGATAGATTTTTTCATAGATAAATAAATATGTAGCAAGCTAGATCATTTCCAATCATTTCAAACTATGATCATAGTGATTATAGTGATGTGTAATGATTATAGTGCACGACAGCCCGCTTTTATTGAGACAACTTAGCGATCGCAGCGCCTCATTTATTTTGTCCATATTTCTGGGACATTATTTTCTACAGCGATCGCTCTCCTATTCTCTAAACCTCCATGGCTCCATGCTACCTATCTTGGAGGTTAGAAAACAGAAGAACGATCGCTACTAGCTAAAACGTAGCCCGCCTGTCCTTGAAAATTTGTAGAATTTATAGTGGCGCTGCCGTCGTTGTATATAAGTACAAGTAGATGAAGTTAGTTTAATAATGTACAAATTTTCTTCGCGGCGTTGGTGAGAAAATTTTACTAATAATAATAATTTATATATATATATATATTGGTTTCAACCAAATGTATGTCCTAGATTTAGAACTTTTGTATTCACAAAGTTTAATTGCTTTTTTCGCTCTGCTACCATGTTAAGATTTAAAACATATAATACATTAGTTTTAAATAAGACAAAATTAATGGAAGTTTTATTTTATAGTTTTACAATAACGTGACAATCAGCAAGTTACGTTGTTAAGATACCTATTTCGTGTATCTTCTTAACATTACGGAGCATGAAAATTTTCTCACCAACGCCGCGAAGAAAATTTGTACATTATTACACTAACTTCATCTACTTGTACTTATATACAACTACGGCAGCGCCACTATAAATTCTACAAATTTTCAAGGACAGGCGGGCTACGCTTTAGTACGTAGCGATCCTTCTCCTGTTTATAAAAATATATATATATATATATATATATATATATATATATATATATATATATATATATATATATATATATATAAAGTATTCTGAACCTTATTTGAAACTTTTGAAGATGGATAAATCAATAGTTGAAGCGTCAAAGATACAGGTAGGATATCTAGATTCTAAGAACTGGAAGACGTGGAAGTTTAAAATTCTCATCGTGCTTAGAGCTATACCCGGAGCAATGGATATCATAGAAGGTAAACGATATAAGCCCATGCTATCGGATACAGCTACAGCTGAAGAGAATCAGAAATATGAGAATGAATTAAAAGAGTTTGTGAATGTAGATAGTACAATCCTAATAATATTTACTACGGATATGTCTGAAGAGACACTGCAGCAAGTCATGCGTTTCTCTTCTTCGAAAGAGATGTGGGATGAATTGAACCATCTTTACAATGGGGTAATAGAAGATAAAAGTTACGAAGTTTGTCTTGATTTCTTTAAATATCAAAAGGAAAGCAATCACAATATGGCTACCCATATATCGACTTTAAAGAATATTTGGCACGAATTAAATAAAAATTTAGAGTCAGCAGAAAATCTTCCTGATATTTTACTGATTTGTAAAATTCTTGACACATTGCCAGTTCAATATTTTGGATTCAAAAGCAGTTGGCTTTTAATGGTAAAAAAGGATAGAACAATTGAAAATTTAACTTGCCAGCTATGTGCCCATGAGAAAGCTTTGTCTGTCAGAGCAGATGATGAGAATTGTGCTGAGGCACTGTACGCAAAACCAGAAAGAAAAATTAGCGGAAAAGATAAGAATTGGAAGAAATTTTTCAAATGTGATTACTGTGGGGAACAAGGACATAGAGTAAGGAAATGCAAGAAGTGGATCAGTGAAGGAAGGCCACCTAAACAATTAAGCGTGAATATAAATCAAACTAACCAAACGGTTTTATTGACGAACAATTTAGTAGATACGACAAATTGGTATGTGGATAATGGCGCTACCAGTCACATAACCAATAGAGGGGATTTTTTCGAACATTTTGAATATTTTAAAACCACACCGTCACAGGAACTAATGGGCAAAGTATCGAGGCTGTTGGAATTGGTACTGTCCGTGCTGAAGCTTATGTTAAAGGTGGAGTAGAAAATATTTTACTAAAGGATGTTTGGTATGTACCTTCGATTACAAGAAATCTATTTTCTGTGCTTGCTGCACAAGATCGCTCACCAAATTGTCTTTTCGAATCAACTGCTGAGACATGTTCATTGAGAGTAAATGGAAAAGTTGTGCTAACTGGAAATAGGCAAAGACATGGAGGGTTATTTAAACTGAATTTAAAGTGTGTGCCACCTTCGCTACATATTAATCAGATAACAACTTCCAATTTACTACAAGTTTACTATGAGAGAATGGCGCATCAAAATAAGAGACATGTAAGACAGTTGATAGATAAAGAGCTCGGCATTAAAGTAGCTCTAGACAAAGAACTTTGTGAAGGATGCATAAATGGTAAAGCCCACCGCAAAAGTTTTGGAACGAGACCAAGAGCATCAAAGGCAGGTGAAATTTTTCATACCGATGTTTGCGGGCCTTTCCCGTATTCATTTCAGAAATACAGATATTTTGTTTTATTTAAAGACGATTTCACCAGTTATCGCTTTATCTATTTTCTGAAAGAAAAGTCAGAAGTAGCTTCAATGCTTAATAATATGGTTGCAGAAATAATGGCGTCTGGGCATAAAATAAGAGAAATTATTTCTGATAATGGGGGAGAATTCGATAACCATTGTCTCCTTCATAACCTAACAGTATTCCTTTTTGAACTTTCTTGTCAAGTTTCATTCTCTTTTGTTTAGGAATATGAACATAGCACTGACAACCTATAATTCTCAGATGTTTAATAGCTGGTTTTTTGCCATGCTAATGCCATATACTACCGAACAAAATGGAGCATGCGAAAGGGATAACAGGACAATTTTAGAGGCTGCACGTTCGATGATGTATGCTCATAAAGAAATACCAAAAGGACTATGGGCTGAAATCGTAAATACCACTGTTTACATTTTAAATCGAACAGGGCCAACGAAGATTGCAGGAAAGTCTCCTAATGAATTGTGGCATGGCAAAAAACCAGTTATTAAACATCTGAGAATTATAGGTTGTCAGTGCTATGTTCATATTCCTAAACAAAAGAGAATGAAACTTGACAAGAAAGTTCAAAAAGGAATACTGTTAGGTTATGAAGGAGACAATGGTTATCGAATTTGGAATAAAACAGATCATAAACTTATTCGCTCCAGGGATGTTACTTTTCAAGAAATACCTTTGATAGATAAATCAAATAACCTTCAAACTGATGACGTAGAAACTATAGCAAAATGTAATCAGTTTGAGTTGCCGGATTTTTCTGCCTTATATACTGTCCCAAATGATAATGAAATACTTCAAGAAGTCATTTCAAATGACGAGATTGAGGGATCTCAAGAAAGGGTTACTGCAATGGAAGATAAGCGTGATATAAATGAACAGGAACCTTGCATATAAGAAGAAAATGAGGACAACATAGATGAATTGTTAGAAAATTCAAAATGAATCTCAAATGACACTTCGAAATCGAGCAAATCTTAAACAGCCTATTCGTTTTCAGGACTATGCCTATATGTCTTTGAATGATTAAATAATAGAACCCAAAACATATAAAGAAATAATTTCATGCTCTTATAGAGACAAGTGGCGTGAGGCTATGGATAGCGAAATCAATTCCTTAATGGAAAATGAAACCTGGGAAATGGTAACATTACCTGAAGTTCGAAAAGCAATACTTTGTTAATGGATATATAAGTTAAAAACCAACTCCGAAGGTGAAATAGATCGCTACAAAGCCAGGTTAGTCGTTAAAGGTTATTCACAAAAAGAGGGCGATGACTTCTACGAAACGTTTAGCCCTGTTGCTAAAGGAAGCACTATTAGAGCTGTGCTAAGCGTCGCAGCAAAAGAAACTTGGATATTGCCCAATTTGATGTTTCAACCGCATTCCTATACGGAACACTTAAAGAAGATATTTATATGAAGCCTCCCGAAGGTTATTACAGTAAGTCCAACATGGTCTGTAAATTAAAAAAAGAGTCTTTATGGCTTAAAACAGGCGCCACGCTGTTGGAATCATTGTATTACACAATATATATTACAAATTGGTTTAAAAAAAGTGAATCTGACCCTTGTTTGTTCGTAAGGAAGCGGGGAAGTATTAAAACTGTCATAGCTCTCTATGTCGATGATGGATTAGTAGCAGCAACAAATTTAAATGAAATAGACAATTTTATGGGTGAGATGAACAAAAATTTCAAAATGACGTTCAAAACTGCATCGTATTTTCTCGGAATTGAGATCGATAGAAAAGTAGATGGGTCTAAAAATTGATCAAAAGGGATTTACGAAAAGGATACTTGAACGGTTTGGTATGCAGAATTGTAAACCAGCTGCTACACCGATAACGAAGGATATTGACAATGACAAAAATTTCAACAATGAAACTAATCCAAAAGTATCATTCCCTTATCGTCAAGCCGTGGGTTCCTTATCTTATCTGATGACTGGAACTGTGTCACGGAGGATTTGTGTCACGAAATCTGGATAATCCTACGGCAGAAAACGTGGCTAAGGTGAAACTCATAATGCGGTATTTAAAAGGCACAACTGACTATGGTATAATTTACAAAAGTTCGAGTAATTGCAATCATTTAGAGTGCTATAGTGATGTAGATCGTGGAGGTGATCATAGCACTGGACGGTCGACATCAGGTATTCTGTGCATTTACTCTAGTGCTGCAACAGCATGGCAAAGTAAGCGGCAATCTAGCGTAGCTATATCATCTACAGAAGCTGAGCTAGTTGCTGCTAGTGAAGCAGCAAGAGAAATCATTTGGATGGATAAAATATTAAGACTTTTAGTTGATAGTTGTGAAAGTATTCCCAGACTACATCTTGACAATGAATCGGCTATAAAGCTAGCCCATGATCCACCATTTGAAATGCACCATCGAACCAAACATATTCGTATACGACACTTCTTTATAAGAGAATGTGTTGAGCAAAGAAATTTGGAGGTGCTGAAAACATGTGCTAAAGACCAGCTTGCTGATATATTAACAAAACCTTTATATAAGCCACGAGTTTTGGAATTAACTATAAAAATGGGCATGAAGTTCTAAAAGGAAGGCGAATGTTAAGAAGATATACACGAAATATTAAAAAGAAATAGGTATCTTAACAACGTAACTTGCTGATTGTCACGTTATTGTAAAACTGTAAAATAAAACTTCTATTAATTTTTTCTTATATTGTTTATTTAAAACTAATGTATATGTTTTAAATCTTAACACGTAATTCTTTTTTTTTTGACAAAAAGAAACATTAAAAAACGGAAAAAGATTTTATTGTGCCTGGATGTACAAGTGGTTTAGCATCTGATCGGAAAAATAGACTGAAAATGACTTTTATTGAGCGAACTTAGCGATCGCAGCGCCTCACTTATGGTGTCCTTATTTCTTGGACACTATTTTTGACGGCGATCGTTCTGTCTGCAACCTCCATGCTACTTATATTTAAATAATTATAGTTTAGCTATATTTATTTATCTACGGTAACAACAACTAGGGATGTCAAGTGAACAAATATATTGATATACATAGTATCGATATTTTTTTAAACAGTATTGACATATATCGCGTGATAAATATCGATATAACGATATATTGTCAAGTTTTGAATGATATTGTAGGATAAGGCCCAAAATAATTATATTTAACGGTTGAACGATGAGAAAAAAAACGACAAAAGCACATTAATGCTTTTGTAGCTACTTTTTTTGCCTAATATTTTGAAGATTAATACAATATTTAAAAATATATTGAAATTGATACGAATTCAATACTCCAAAGTAAATATCGAACATCGATAAATCGATTTATATAAAAACGGCAATAAATGTATCGACAAATATTTTAGGAAAATATCGATATTTGTTAGCAAGCCTAGGCCTAGGCCTATACAATTCAATTCAACAACAATCCCAACAATCATTCAATTTCAATTCAAATTCAACATAAAAAGTTTCCTTCAGATACGGATTTCTTAGTTTCAAAACTAAGGGGAAAGGGTTTTTCTATATAAGTTCGAGAAAATTGTGTGGATTGTGTTTTCGTATCACAGGTTGCAGGTTGTTTTTAATTTTAAGCGATGGAGGTTATGGAATCTATGCCGGTTGCATTTAAAGAAATTGCACCCAACCACAATATTCCCGAAAAATGGAAGGAAATTATGTTAAATACTGGTTTGATCCCCTTTTATCAGTTTCAATATCAATTAGCTGATTCCTTTTTAAATATTATATTTATTTGTTTACTTGCAGGTGGTACTCACAGCACTTTACAGGATATAAAGTTACCACAGAAAGCTGGTGGTTATTGGTATAAAGATTCGAAAAAAGCTAATACAAGAAATCGTTTTATATATTGGTAAATGAAATTAGAATCTTATAAGTTTTATAAGATTACTTGTTTTCTTAATAAATTAAATTTATTTATAGGCAAACAACGTCAGATGCCATAGAATTATCAGAGGCTTCTTTAGATGTTAATCTATCGGCTTCAAATTTACGATGTAAAGTAGCGCCGGGAACACCACCCTTAAATAGCTTAACATTTTATGAGAGATTAACTACACAAGAAGTTATTATTTTGGCCGCTACTGTGTCATCTGTACATAGACTTATATTCCCACATCCAGAATCCTTAGAAAGAAAGGTTTGTCATATAAGAATTATTTAGTTTTAATGAGTTACATGCTGTGTCTAAAATGCATTAGAATGCCTTATCTGTCAGAAATATTCACAGGTGTATGCACAACTCTGCTAAGTTTCATCATAATTGGTTAAATGGAATAGAAAAACTCACAGAATAAATAAACATAAATTTTTATTTATTACATAGATTTTTTGCTTTAATATAGAAACATTTTTTCAGTCCACATTCGGATCAGTGAATAGTACTTCTACTTCCATATTTCATGACACCAGTGCAGTGAATAATCATAACAACTACTCCATTTTAAATCAGTATTCAAATACAAGTAAGTAATTGTTTAATTAACACTAATCATCATCATCATCATCATCATCACAGCCCTTCAAGTCCACTGCTGAACATAGGCCTCCCCCCAAGTAATGCCACAAAGCACGGTCCTGAGCCACCTGCATCCATCGACTTCCTGCATATCTTACCAGGTCGTCACTCCATCTAGTGGGGGGTCGCCCTACACTACGCCTACCGGTACGAGGCTGCCACTCGAGAACCTTTCTTCCCCATCGGTTATCGGTTCTTCGAGCTATATGGCCGGCCCATTGCCACTTCAGCTTACTAATCCGTTGGGCTATGTCGGTCAATCTGGTTTTACTGCGGATATCCTCATTTCTGAGTCTATCACGCAGAGAAACTCCGAGCATAGCCCTCTCCATAGCTCGCTGAGCGACCTTGAGCGTCCTCATACGGCCAGCAGTGAAGGACCACGTCTCTGATCCGTAAGTCATCACTGGCAACACGCACTGGTTGTACACTTTAGTTTTCAGAGATTGAGGTATACCTGACGAGAAGATATGTCGTAATTTCCCGAACGCTGCCCAGCCGAGTTGAATCCGTCGATTGACCTCTCGGTCGAAGTTGGACTTACCTAGTCGGACTATTTGTCCCAGGTAAACGTACTCGTCAACAACTTCGAGCATAGTGCTCCCAACAACTACCGGCATAGGTGTGACATGGACATTAAACATAATCTTTGTTTTGTCCATGTTCATCTTAAGACCTATCCGTTGGGAGGCACTATTGAGGTCATTGAGCATAGTGCTTAAGTCCTCCAGCGATTCTGCCATAAGGACTATATCGTCGGCAAATCGAAGGTGAGTGATGTACTCGCCATTGATGTTAATACCGTATCCTTTCCAGTCCAGTAGTTTGAAAACGTCTTCCAAAGCAGCGGTGAAGAGTTTCGGGGATATAACGTCACCCTGTCTTACACCTCTCTGCAGTTGGATAGGTTTCGAGCTCTGGTTCTGTACTCGGATAGCCATCGTAGCCCTACTGTACAAACACTTCAGCACTTCAATATACCGACAGTCAACTTGGCACCGCTGAAGGGACTGCAGCACCGCCCAAATTTCGACGGAATCAAAGGCTTTCTCATAGTCCACATACGCCAGGCAAAGTGGCAAATTGTACTCTTCAGTCTTCTGTACAATCTGCCGCAGGGTATGTATGTGGTCTATGGTACTGAAGCCTTTTCGGAAACCGGCTTGTTCGGGAGGCTGGAAGTCGTCGAGTCTGCGTGCGAGACGACTCGTAATGACTCTCGAAAACAGCACGTAGACGCGGCTCAGAAGGGAAATCGGTCTGTAGTTCTTCAAGAGAGCGTTGTCGCCTTTCTTAAAGAACAAGACCACCGCACTTCTGCTCCACGCCTCTGGAGTAGTGCCACCATGGAGGACGGAATTGAAGAGCTTCTGAAGGACTTCAAGTACCGGTGTTCCACCCGCTTTCAGAAGCTCCGCTGTAATTCCATCCTCGCCTGGGGCCCTGCCGTTTTTAAGGTGCTGGAGAGCCATTCTAATCTCGCTTAGACTGACGTCCGGGATATCATCGGAATAGTGTCGGATAAGACTTGCTCTTGGATCGTTACTTGCGTGTGGCTCCAACGATGATGTGTACAGCTGCCCATAGAACCTCTCAATCTCACTCAAAATCTCAGGTGTCCCGGAAACGATGCTGCCACACTCAGTCTTCAGCCTTGACAGTTGGCTCTTTCTGGCAGACAGATCTCTGGCAAAGACTTTGGAGCCCTGGTTCCGCTCGATCGCTTCTTTAATACGAGCAGTATTAAAGTTGCGTAAGTCTCGCCGCATGCATTTGGAGATCTGTCTGTTCAGTTGCCTGTATGCTGTCAAATCTGTTGACGATTGCAGCCTCATCTCCCGTCTAACAGCCATGAGATTAAGAGTGTGATCGGAGAGTTTTTGTGTTCTTCTGCGGCGGGTCTTGCAGAACTTAGCTCCGACCGCATGGACAGTTTCCACGAGCTTGTCATTCATATCGTCCACTGCATTGCAATCTTGTAGGCACTGAAAGCGGTTGTGTAACTCGAGCTGAAAGTTTTCGGGATTTTGGATCAGAGCACGAGGGGGACGGAGCGTTGACTTCATTAGACGAGACCTCTCCAACTTAACGTTTAGGTTCAGTGTGCCTCTAACCATTCGGTGATCGCTGCCAGTTTTCACCCTTGCGATCACTGAGACATCACTGAACAGTTGGCGTCTGGTCGTCATAATGAAGTCAATCTCATTTTTTGTCGAACCGTCGGGGCTCGACCAGGTCCACTTCCTGTGGGGCCGCTTCTGGAAGAAAGAGTTCATCATAAAGAGTCCCTCTTTCTCCATAAAGTCGGCCAGCTGCTGGCCCCTTCGGTTCCGTTGCCCTACTCCAAATTTCCCTAACTTCAGCTCACCGCTTTCTCTTGTGCCTAGTTTTGCGTTGAAGTCTCCCATCAACACCGTGTAGTGGGTTTTGGAGGAATGTATGGCTTTGGAAATATCCTCATACATTTCCTCCACCTCCTCATCGGAATGTGCCGACGTTGGTGCGTAAACCTGTATGACCTTCAGCGAATACCGTTTGGTGATTCTGAGTATCAGGTACGCGACCCTCGTCGACACACTCTCAATCTGTACAACGTTGTTGACGAGAGACTTGTGGACGATAAATCCGACACCTCCTTGGGACAGATGGTCGCCCTCCCGGTGATAGAACAAGTTGCCGGATTCGAGAATCACCGTGTCCTCCCCCCTCTCTTCGGACCTCGGATAATCCTATAATACTCCAGCGCAACTTGTCTATCTCTTCTTCCAGCTCCAGGATCTTCTCGTCAGTCCTCAGTGTGCGTGCGTTAAATGTTGCCAGGTCGAGTCGTCGTAGGTGGCAACCGAACCTCCACCGGAGATTCTTAGCACCCCTTAGACTGGGGGCCGTCTATTTGTGTAATTGTTCATGGGGGGTATATTGCCATAGTTGCCACGCTTGGCGAGCGGGTTGGCAACCGCAGTTTTTTTTTTTTGTCGTACAGTTGCTGTTATCAGGAAGATGCTGCTGCCCATCACACCCACGGGAAGATATGGGGTAGTGGATATTCTTAACCGCCACTACACGGCACTAATCATATTATATCATAATTTACAATTTCTCCTTTATATATGCCGAAAGGCATAGCATTGATGAGAAAAGTATTACTTGTTACCCTTTCAATTTATTGTCTTTGCTATGACTGATATTATGTGAGTACAATTTCTGGCTACTACTCAGCATCCTGGATACGAATACCAGCTGGTGTCAATATTTGTTCAAAAACACATTGTTTTAATTACATCTTCTAATTTCATTTTATAAAACTGAGGTGACAAATGTACTTACAGTTTACCTTATGGTAAGTGGCTACTGGAGCTCATAGACAACTGCAACCAACTTTAAACAAAGGCTATAGATGCTTTGTCACCACTCACGGCTTGTAATGATATTCCCCCTCAACTTCATTCTGACCGGTACGCAGCAGTGCAGGCACTGTTTTTTGGTAGCAAAAATAATTTGCGACTGTATACAGTTAATCAAATTGATCTGATATGATTATATTATTGCTAGTTGGGATGAGTGAGTGCTATTGTGTAAGCTAGGGCAAAATGTTTGGGCATATGAGAAAAATGAACAGAACAGAGGATAAGCTTCTAAAGTGTAAGCAATTTTTTTACCTATTTTGGTATGGTTGGTACAGGAAACAAACTTAAAGTTTATTACTTTCTTATTAAAACCTAAGTTAACCTACTTATTGAAAGAAAATTTGTTTTCAAAACACTCAAAATATTTTACATACATACATAAACACTCATGTCCCAGAGGGGGGTAGGCAAAGACTATGGACTTCCAATTGGCACAATCTTGACACACCTCTCTCACTCTTTTACATCTATGTACCTACTCATACATGCTTGTCAGTTAATAAAGCCAATATAATTTAGTTTATGATGGGCTATTTTCTGAGACTCCACATCTAAGCGTGTATTACCCATGTAGGCAAGAATATTATGATTCTTCAAGCCATAAGATCTCCCCAAAGAAGTTAACAATCCTTTGTTGTTGGGAGCAACTTCGGGGAGTGATCCCGGCATGCTGAGATGCTTAGCCCTGTATGCATCGACCTCGGGACATGCCTGCAACACGTAGGCCGCCGTTTACTTCTCCCTCATACATGCCCTGCATGGAGGTCTATCTGTAATACTCGGTGATTTTTTTACTGCCTGGAAAAAATAGAGTGTAACAGGTGAACAGAATGGAAGTCTATGTCACTGCTATTTTAATTTTTTTTTATTTTACATTAACATAATATGAAATTGATCTATCAATAAATACTACTAATTTGAAATAAACCTTCAGTACTAAAAGAAATAAACAAATTTTGGACTAAATAAATAAATCAGTTAAAAACAATTGAAAATAAAATATATGTATATACATACCCAATTAGTAGTATTTATTGATACATCCATTTCGTAATATTCTAATGTAAAATAATAAAATATAGTAAAATATCAGTGCCATAGGCTTTTCTAATCCATTCATCTGTTACACCCTATTTTTTCCAGACGGTAGAAAAAATCATTCTGTATATATGTTTAACGATTTCTTATATCTATGCGAACACTACACATTGAATAAACACCTGGGTAATTTCCTCCTCCCTCATACATGACCTGCAAAGGGGACTATCAAATTCAAAATTTACACCTATAATAATGTCCTACAGACCGAATTTCGGTCACGGCGGCCTGCCTCAACGGAGGCTAGCCATCGGCGCAGGACAGAATTATAGTGCCCAAGTGCATGTGCAAGCTCAGGTGCACTCTCTATTTCCTCACGCACATAATCTGATGGGACTGTAAACCAACACGAGCGGAGAAAGATCAGGCGCAAGACCAACAGCTTTACGTGCTTTCCGAGGCACGGGGGTGAGACACCGCCAACTTCCTGACTCCGGGCAAC